CCCCAAAACCCCAAAACCCCGTTTTCATAAAAAAGTATATTGCATTTGTCAAATTTTTAATTCAAAAGCAATTAAATAATTTAAACTTATATATTTCCGTCCTATCACTAAGAAATAATGTCAAATAATTTGTAGCTTCTCAAGACTTTAACTTCTGCTATTTAGCATATTCTAAGTAATTCTTCTTTGCAGTTCTCTTTGCTTAGTTAATGTAAACTGCTTTTGAAATTCCTCTCGGATTAAATTAATATCTATAGTAGTCTATTTCTTCTAGATATCACTCATTGCAGTAATTAAATCCTTTTAATTTATATGAGGCACTATTGATTTATTGTATAAATTCTATGCAACTTTATGTGCAATTCCAGCACCTATACCCATTGGAATCTTAATCTATTGTTCAGGACTCTATATTTATGAGCCATGAACAGGCTGAGTATCAAAGCTAGAATAAAGCATATCTCTCTGATGATTCACTATTTAACATGACAAAGGATCGATATTAGACAGGAGTCCAGAACCTTTTGCTTGCTGTAACCTTGAAATATGGAGTGCATTACCTATCCCAATCATAAATATTGGCTTGCAAAACATAATTAGGAACTGTGGTTTGTTTATGGTATTCACAATTGTTAGATCATCAGTAATGAGCATGAATTTCATGAATTCATCGAATTGAAACTTATCAGCAACGATTCTATTCGACCTCAGGAAAGCCATCAAACTATCTTTTTTTATTTCATTCGATTTAGCCCCATCGCATTCATTCCAAAACTGCTGTATCATTTAATAGGCTTCACTGACACCCACTCTATTATGCTATTAGTTATGTCTTCTGATTGGGGAAAGCACTCTTTACTTATATTTTTCTTCATTGATAGGAGAGAGGTCATTTGGTATTGAGTTAATCTTTACATGCTTCAATTTAGATTAGGAATCATTCAATGTGCTTTTACTGCTTTACTTTTTATCAGAGCTGTTCTATCTATCTTTTTTGCTAGACGAAACAGGACTCAATGGTTCTATCTTAGAGTTAATCTTGACTGTATTACTATTCGAGGGTCTTTTGTTTTGACTTACTTCGCTGCTTAGGATTTACTTGCTTTTTAATTGTTGCTGCTTCTACATTAACTCTTCCTATATTTTTAAGTCTTAAAATTTCTTGATAATCAAGTCAATCACTGGCTGAAGAAATCTGTTGAATTAAAATAGAGACAAGAATTGATGTCTCTTAATGTGAGTTGCATTTTGGTCTAGTTTATGCTAAAATTTGACCAGCTTTATAATGCTTTCAGTCATTTTTTCATTAGGTGCTAATCCGAATATTATCAATTTTTCGTTTAGCTGCTCCATAGTAATCTAGTTTTCAGCCAGTGTGTCCCAGTATAAGAATAACTTTTCCATTATCTCTAGGGATTCCTTTATATCTTTATCTTTATTCTTCTAATTAGATTTTCCACTTCCATTGGGTATATCAAGAGAACTTTTATTCTCCCTTTGCTTCATCCATTTACTTTAGGCTTTTTTGTTGATAAAGTCCATCTACTGTCTATAGTTCCTCATTTTCTCTGATTTCTCTCTGATGTATCGATTTATTTCCTCAATGTCTAGTTTATGCTAGTACTGGGGGTCTTTGATACCATTGATATCATTAAGTTTCTCCTCTCCACCAAAGTACTTATACTTCTTCAGATCAATTTAATCAAGCATTGTCTAGTATTAATCTTCTGCTGCTAGTTCTTGATTAATAATTAGGCCTTAATCATCTTTAACTATCTCAAAATTTTGCTATATATAATCCTCCCCATTTGAATCGTAGTGCTGCTACTATTATTGGTGTTAATATTATTTAGCATCCATATATTCGTGTTAACTGTTATTGCTAGTTATCTAATAGCTGTTTTTAGCTTAATTTCTTAGACTATGCTATTGCTTCAAATGTAAACTCTTCTTTGGACTTTAGTCTATCTGCGGGTTTCTATTTGAAGCCGATGAGTTGAACACTGAGTTATAGTTCCATTTTCCAGATGATTTGTAATTTATTTCACCAAATCCACCAGGTTCATTCCCTGCTCCACTTGGATGCGCAGTAGAGACTTCAGTTTAGTTATAGGTCTCTCTATTCCTATCGCCGTAAATTTTGCGTACATTGTGATAAGTTTTATTCATCTGTGGAAGGTTTAGTTGTTTATCCATAAGCTGAGACTAAATGACTCTATCTTGAGAATTCATTGATTTATTTACAGCTGCTCTAAGTAGATGATGCCTTCCTTTTAATTTCTTCATTTTATCTCTTATGCCTTCATACTCTTCCTAGTCAAAGACATTTCTTTAATAATCTGACAGTGCATTAACTGTGACTTTTTTCAGGTACTTCGACTGCTTATCTATGATGCCAGATTCTATGATTTGTGTTTACACTCTTCTCCCTAGGGAATAACTCATTTTAGCTGTAAGATTTTTGCTTTTAAACTGATCATTCAACTCCTCCCTTAGTTGACTTACGAATTTATTTTGATAAGCGGGACGATTAAAGTCAGAAAATACATTTTCATCTCTGTAGAACTCTTAAAACTCTTTGCTTCTAATTCTCTGTCTTCCTTCAATCTTTTGTAGCTAGGCACTCTTTGCTGCCTTCATTAGACTGCTTTTCTTTTTGTTAAAGGCAGTTGCTGTGTTATACCCTGATTGCAGTATTGGCTGATTTTACCCATTTGAGCTTTGCTTCCAATTGGAGGATGTTTACTCTTTGCTCTGCTGGTTATTACTGCCCATCCATGAATTAGACCCAATTGCTAAGTTATAGTCATTTCTACTATTTTTGGTTGGCTTTGCTTTTAAGAACTCATTCTTGTTGAGTTTATCAAGGAACTTACCCCCACTGCTGAGGCCCTTGCCTCCGTAATCACTATCATCTTGATCTTCTCCAGACTACAGTTTCAGCTGATGATGCTGCTTGCCATGAACCAGACTTGACTTCATGTTGATATTGACAGTGCTAATCTTTTCATAGTTGTCTATGTTATCTAGATAGTTCAAGTACTTCAGCTGCTTAACTTGCTGAGCAGTTGCTGGCTGTTGCATATTCTAATGTATAAATGAATTATTGTTTAATTAGAATCCACTTGGGATTATAAATATTATTTCATAATTAATTTTTCGCAAATTTTTGGATGTATTATATATCCCGGGGTTTTGGGGTTTTGGGG